TTAGCATACATCCAAACATCTGCCGTGATGGCCCTACCAGAACCCTGGTAGACCCTTTCAGAGGCCCTCGGCTCTTTTGGAGGCCTAAACTGCAGAGGCTCCTCGTTTTGGCAGCTAATGATGCCTGAGGTTTTGCATCCAAAAAGCCGTTCCGCTTCCTAAGGGCCGCGTTTTGCCCCTTGGCCCCGGGATGGGAATTCCCATCCAGACGGGCGATCAAAAGAGCCTCAAGAGTGATCCATGCACCCCTGGGCCATGAAATGCAGAGCTGAATAGGTTTTCCAGGCAAATACAGAATTGAATAGGTTTTCTACCATTTCACTGCGTCTAGATTCTAGATGGCGTTTGACGAGCTTGTGGTGTATGTTTGGTGACTCTGTTGCAAGATATGATAGATGCAGCTGCAGTAGTGCAACAACAGAAACCAGCGTCACCTTCGTGATTCGCTACTAAAACGCGTCAATGCCGCATCAAAATGGCAGCAGTCCGTGCCGAGAACACTGGTCCGCGAGGTTTCGTTGGGTTTCCTTAAGTTGGCAACAACCAACGAAGTCCAGCATCACCTTCGGGATTAAGGTTGGTGTGATGTGTAATTCGGGCACTGATGTGTAAATTTCCTGAAATCAGCGTCTACATGGGGTGATGCATATTTCTGCGCCCTGATGTGTGTTAAAACCCCCCCGCTCGTATCTGATTCATGATTCATGATTGACACTCGCTACAGGATGAGCCTTCCACAGCTGGGCTTACCACCAGCAACGCACTCGACATGCCTCTTCTTGGGGGGAGCTGGCAGATTCCAGTGCATCCAAGTGGAGCTTGTGCCTGTTTGCCCAGGTGCAAATCCTCGAACGTTCGCGCTGCGCTCCGAGGAGGACATTCCACGGTCAATTTGCAGCCGTTCGACCTTCGAAGCCGCGCCAAGAAAGTGCATGCAACTGTGCCAATAACTGACCACTACCACTACGACGGCAACGACGACCACGACTGCTACCACTGTCACTACCCTGCTCCTGCTGCTGCTGCTGCTGCTGCTGCCATTACTACTACCATCAGCCACCACCACCACCACCACCACCACCACCACCACCACCACCACCACCACCACCACCACCACCACCACCACCACCACCACCACCACCAACACGGCTTCTACCAGATTCTATAGTGTTGCTATAGTGTCCACCGTCAAACTTACTTAGACGACAACGACGCCACGTGATTCCGAATGCTGACAGAATGCTGACTGTTGATTTGCTTCCTTGCTTAACACCCCGTCCCTGGACTGCCCGCAAACTCTCATTCGCTTCTGCGCCATCAACTGGAGCCTCCGCGAGGACTCCGATGCCGACTCCGAAATGGAGGCGGAGGAGGCCCTGTGGGCTTTGTTGAGGCTCCAGGGGCAGCTCCGACACCAGTCGTGGCGGGGCTCGGTTGTGTCCAGAGTCCAGACCAGTTGCATGTCATTTATCAGGTGCATATACAGATTATATACACTGTACACCTGTATCAGTCTTCAGTCTTCTTGCGCACTTCGGCCTTCCAGGAGAAGCTCGGCAGATGTTCTGTGCTCCTGAGGCTGGACGACTTCCCCAGCCGAGCCGGATTCTGCAAACGTCTGCCCTATGCCTAAGGCAGATGGCTCTCGCCATCGTCGAAATCTTGCTGTCGATCTTGCTCTTCAGCCGGCAGCCTACCATCGAAAGGCAAGACGAGGCAAAGACTCCTTATCACTCATGATGGAACGGAGTGGAGTAGTGGGGGAGTTACAAGCATCCCGCGCAGACCTAGATGATAAAGTCCTGTGACCGTAACCCCCTTACCGGAACGTTTCGGAAGCTTTTGCCCAGGCCCAGAGCTCATCATCGGAGTCGTGCGCCTCGTTCGTGGCTCCTGGGCCCAGGCAGTAGTCGGAGTGGGCTTACGAGGAGCGTTTTCGAGAAGAATAGACTGGAAAGAGCGGCATCCAGCTCGGGCCTTGAGAAGGCGTTCTCAGCAGCATGGCAGGCGCATGCAGGCGCTAAAGTTCGGGTAAAAAGATGTTAGGGCCTTTGAGCTCGAGACTGCCATAGACTGCAAAGGCGAACCCCAAAAGGTTCCAAAATGTCCACTTCCAAACCCAAAGCCATGGCTCCAGCGTGTTCACTACTTGCGGGAGGTGACTGGAACGCAGAACTGGCAGCCGCAGGACAAGCCTGGCAGCGAGCAGCCTTCAAAAGCAGCAGTATTGCCGTGTGCCGTTGGTTTTGTTCGTGCTTCAATTTCGTGCTTCTGATACTTCAAATACTTAGAAGTTTAGAGTAATTGCGACTGGCATGCAGCTTGCTGCTTTTCCTGAGTATCAGTATTATTGTAGTTATGATTCTCTCTTCGGGCGCTCCACCTCATCCTCTTCAACGACAGATGATTTCGAGCACACGCTCTGCCTGCAAGGATGCTGTGGAGAAAGAAGTCCAGCAGAATTTGAGCTTCTTCTACGTTTTCAAGGTCGAACATGTGAGATCCAGGTCTATTGAAGCTGTAGACTGGACCAAGAAGCGCCTCCCTCATGCCGAACAGATGCTCACGACTGGAGCCTCGGAGAGCCGTTGTTGTGCAGAAAACGTGGCTCGTCTTCGCCTGCGGCGTGGCATACCTGGTATACGTTCGCATCTCAAAAGGGGGCTGCAGCTTTAATCATGACTAGGGATTTAGATGAAGGCAACTTTCTCATGTGTCGACGCCGTTCTTGGCAAAGTTAGGAGTTTTTCCGTGAGACAGGAAGGTGTTAGACTCGAGATCTGTGGTGCCCCAAACACTGCAGACAAAAGCATGCCCCATGCGACGCGCTGTTTGAGGCGATTATCTTTGGCATACGCGATGCTTTGGCACGCACCTTGGGAACATTGCCACTTCCAACAACCGCTTTGAGCGCAAACGTGCATTCTTATCCGTGCATCAGGTGGGGTAGGCATCAGACCCATTGAATGCAGTTGCTGACTCCTATGCTCAGGTCTTCCTCCTCATCATCTCGTGGGTGGGCTATCCGTTCACAACATACGCGGGGAGCTCAACTCGAAGAGATGACTGTAATAGTCCCCACTTCATACTTCGAGCCCCCTTCGAGCTTCCTTTGCCCTCCTCCGTAATGAGGGTCACCACTTACTAGCAGTTATTGACCACATTGACAGTAGAACCAAAGGCGGTTCTGTCACGTGAGAGCAGAATTGGAGCTTTGCGGCTTGCGGCGGCCGATAATATTCTGCAGGTCAGGGAAGGGGGAGGGTGCGTCCTGAGTCGTCCTGAGTAAGCTCCAGGATTTCTTGTTTTGTTTTGTTTTGTGTAAGGAGTGAAATTTCTGGAATTGAGATCAAATTGCCAAGCAACACCAGCTGCTCCAATCGAGATTAGCGGTAATAGTAGCAACAGTAAACCAACACTAGCAGCAAGAACAATAGTGATACTGGCAACAGTGCTGATTGTAAGCGGCAGTAAGCGGTATCAGGATGAGTAACAGGAAGAGAGATCAGGAGTAGCGAACTAGCGACCGCTGAGTATTTACTATGGCGCATGTCGGATTATCGCCTTGCTCGGAACAGCCCTTGTGTAAGTGTGGGAGTGTCCAGTTGACTGCTGTTGACTCCTGATCGCGGTTGCCCAGATGTCCAACCAGAAACCACTACGATAACCGTTAACATTTTTGAAGCATGCTAGTTTTATCAGAACGGCAAGCGTCCAACTCCTCGCCCAGTGGATGTGCATGCCTGTCCAAGACATGTGGCGAAGGCCAGCGACTTACCATTTGAATCTCTTGCCTGAGCAAGATTCGATTTCAGCAACCGTGTGCTTTTGGTTGATCTTCAAGCTGGAGATATAAAATAATAGTAATAGTCAGAATCGCAACAATAGTATAATGATAGAAATACGAGGAATAATGATTATATTTATAGCTACTGCCGCAGTTCGCAGTACTCGCAATAGAGCTCTGATGAGCAAAAGATGTGGCGAGGAACCCCTTGATTTGCCGCAAGCTCAGGTCCTTCCTGTGGAAGTGGGTAATGGAAGTGAAGAGGAACCAAGGCTAAGCTGGCCCTGTCCCATTTCTTTTGGGTTCTGCTCATGTCCATGCCTTATCACACCCCCATATCGCCTGAATGCGCCGAACCGAAGCTTGTTTGTTCGAGCTGCTGGTCCTAACCTTACAAAGATGGCTGCTTCGTAGTTTAGCACCTGAGGCGATACATGAATGCTAGGTCTGCAGGACAGATAGAGCATCGTGATCAGAACTTTTTGTTTTCCATCAGACTGGATCGGTATCCACGGCGCAGAAGCTTCCCTGTGGCATGCCGTCCCGTCGCTGAATTTTAAATGTGCTATGCAGTGCCACGAAACGACCAAAAGTCAAAACTGACACTATTGCTCTTCATGGGCTTTGTTTGGCACAGGGTTAAAATGCCAACGTGTCAGCTCCACGTGCTCCGCTCCTTTGCTTGAGCAGTGTACTGGTGTGTTTTGCGCGACTTGGTGCCACGCAAAGGTTGTGGACCACGGTCATTGCTTAATGTCTCAAAACTGCGATATTTGCCAAAATGGCCGCACCCGCATTAGGCCCACTGCCGGTGTGACTACGCAGGTTGACTCCTGGACTTTTCTTTCGCAGGATCGTTCTGGGCAGCCTTGTTTTTTGCCTGCTGAAGCTTTTGGCAAAGATTCAAGCAGCTTTCCGTTCAGGGGACGCTGTCTATCATGCTCCTGCAAACACAGCCTCGACACTGAGTGAGCATTGTGTTTGGACTGCGCCCTGGATCTGCCCGAAGCTGACATGAGTCGGTATGTGACATAAGAAACTACGAAATTGCCCGGGGCAAAGACTCACCATCGGACGCCTCCCATGACCCCGAGACCGGTCTCTGTAACAGGCCGCAACAGCCCTGATTAGAACAGATTACAACATTACTGCGTCTCCACCTGCCGTGGATGTACAGCGCTTCCCAGCCTCGGAGTGGCTGCGAGCTGATGCCATGAGCTCTGCTCTCGTGCGGCTGCGGCTGAACCGCCTGGCAAGGCTTGGGATTGTGGGGCCTAGACGCGAATCTAAAGGGAACGTCGGATACGCATGAACTACAATAAAGCCAAGCCCATTACGGAGGACGTTGCCTTCATGGCAAACCTTGTGCTCTGAAAGATGGCGCAAGTATGCAAGCGCTGTAACGAACGGCATGTACGCTTCTGGAGTTGAAGAGTCAAACACAGCGCTTCATGTTTCATGTGAGTTCTTGAACCCTTGTGGGTGGTAAGATGAAGGCAGCTGCGCCACCGTAAATGCATCAATTGCGCTGCCTGCGCTCGGCAACTGAAGCTACCTTAGAACTGCCAGTGGAGGTTGTCAATATGTCAACCACTGATCGAAGCACAGAACTGTTATGTTGGTATTCATGGTTGCATGATTCGTCAATCAGTTCGAAGCTCTCTACAACTTTTACAGCCCCGTGAGCTTATGGAATCATGGGCGACGAGGCCTGCGACTCTACTTGCCTTGCGAAGATTTTCTGCCGCGCCTTCACCGGGGGAACTGGAGAGGCGGGGCTGCAGTTTGTGTTGCACTGGATTGAGGCAGGCTAATATTTCAGACCCCATATGATGCAGTTTGCCATCTGAAGACTTTGAAGAAGACGCGACACTCAAAAAGTCTATATGGCGAGCCTCCATCTGTGACAGGACAAGGAAAAGCACGGGATGGTGGAGCACGTTCGTGCGGCTGTCATACAAGTGGCTCCTGGACTGAATAGTGGAGCCTCCTGCTTTCCAGCACATGTCGTAGATGCAGCTTGTCGACCGGAAGTGTCAGTGTCGACCGGCTTGGCTGTTGCCACAGCTTCGTCTCATCTCAGGCTAGGCCCCTCGCTCTTTGATAAGAAGGCCCGGAAATGGTGCACGGTTTAATCTCCAGAGTGGTTCTGCTATCGAGAACGGTTTCCGCGACATGCGGTTCATTTCGACCGATGTCGATCGCTTCAGTCTAAATGTTGGGCGAAAGCATCCGGAACAACATGCTGTCTAGCGTCCCCAAGTTCTTTCCAGTTTAGGACAGGCTGCGTGGTTCGCAGTCCGACTTCACCTTGCAACAGGTGTTCGAAAAGCCTGGGCCAGGGAAGATCAGTGCGGACAATTCAGATCTTAAGGGTCACCGATGGCTGAAGCCCGCAACCCTGGAACTCCCATCTTCTAAGCCTTTTCTCTGATCAACCAGGCTGTGCATGTTCATGTCAGAATCTTCGAAGCACTTTGAGGGCTCGGGCTGTGAGGCAGACATCTGCAACTGCGGAGGAGACTTCGGAGTGCCGATCCCAAGGCAGCGTTGTAATTGATGTATGAACTGGACGATGTTGCGATGAAAGATCTTCCTGGTCTTGTGCTGCATTTTATACCATAGCACCTACACGACACCACCAAAGTCACCACCACCACAACCACCACCACCATCACTGACAACGACAGCGACCACAGTGGCGACGACGACAACCACGACAACAACTGCAGAAGCAGCACCACCACCACCACCACCACCAACACCAACAACAGTAATAACAACAACATCAAAAACGACAGCATCATCATCAACAATTCATTGGACGCTGAGCGAACGGGCTCTGCTCATAGTTGTATCGGCCCTGGCACCAGACTGTACAAAGGCGAGCATGTCAAGAAAGCTAAGGAAAGCCAGTCGCAGTTGCTGATCCCTCATAAAGAAGAACAAGGCAAGTATAGAAACTAGCATAGAAAAGAAGGACCTCAGCCTGCCTTCAGTAACACAACACAGAACCCATCTCCGTTGAATGAGGAAAGCTCTAGCGGAAGCCGCGCCGTGAAGTGTGGACGTCTAAGCCAAGCATTGGCACCTAGCTCATCATCAACAACAACATCAACACCAACAACAGCAACAGCAACAACAACAACCAACAGCCAACATCCACCAACAGCAGCAGCAGCAGTAACAGCAACCACAGCAGCACCACCGCCAACAACACCACGTACACCACCACCACCCACCACCCACCACCCACCACCCACCACCCACCACCCACCACCCACCACCCACCACCCACCACCCACCACCCACCACCCACCACCCACCACCCACCACCCACCACCCACCACCCACCAGCAGCAGCAGCACTAGCACCAGCGCCACCACCACACTCCCCACCACCACCCCCACCAGCACCAGCGCCATCACCAGCACCAGTACCACCAGCAGCACCACCAGCAGCAGCACCAGCAGCAGCACCAGCAGCACCACCACCAGCAGCACCACTAGCACACTACCACCACCAGCATGACCACCAACAGCACCACCACCAGCACCACCACCACCAACAGCAACAAGGCACAAACAACAACTGCACCACCTTAAACTGATGTGTGTTTATAGTTGCTTTTATTCGGAATTTGAAAGGTTTTGATAGGGTGTTTGTGGGATGTTCCTTCACAGCCCCAGTGCACCTCTTCAACATCCCGTGAAAACTCTTCAAATTCGGCATCCCATTAAACCACCTCCAAACCCAATCAAAACCATTCAAGATTCAATGAGCACCCTTCAAAATCCGTTTAAACCATGCAAGATCCCATCCAAACTCTTCAACTTCCTATGAGAAGCATTTCGCAACTCCATGAATACGGACGGACCCATGAACATCGAGGGACAACCCTTCACAATGAAATGCCATTGAACACCGACAGAAGCCCATGAACACTCTTCAAAATCTCCGAAAACGTGCCAAAATCCGAACACTCACACTCCCATGAAACCTATCCGAAATCTTATGAGCGCCCCTTCTGAATCCGATGCGGAACCGACTAAATCACTCAAAGTCCCATCCACGTCTAAAAACCTGCTAAAACCTATAGAACCCTAGCTCCTAAAACGCGATCAGACCCTTCTAATGCCGAATAAGACCCTTCAACAGCCTTTTGCCACCCTTCTAGAGCCCGTCCTAACTCTTCTGATGACGAGAAATAGCAGAGAACAAGTACTTCAACAGCCACAATAAATCATGCGTGTTGCATCGAATCTAGTAGAATCTAGCGTCGTTTCTTGCCGTGAGAGTAATTATGTACGTGTGGCACGGCACAAGTTTGAAACGGCTCCAAGTACAAAGCATGCCTTTTCGAACAGGGCAGAGCTCCTTCAGCGAGACAACATGGAGAAAGGCAGCCGCGAGTCCGGGCCCTGGGTCATGTTTGGAGTTAGGAGAGCGGGCTTTGGAGAGCCAGCATCTGTCGTTCGTGTGCTCGCCTGAACTGCTGTATGAAGTCCCGACTTGATGTTCGCAAGCGCCATTCGTTTTTTGTCATGGATGCCTCAAAGAGCCGACGGTGGAAAGGCTAGGTTGGCGTGCGAGTACATACGCTAGAGATCGAAAGATGATCACACTTGGATGAGAGGTGTTGCTACTTGTAGCTTCCAACCCGAGGGAGCGGATGCAGCTTTACGGTGGCGCCCTCTACTGGCACCTGGCCACCACACGCACTGAAAAATACAAGGAGCGGCTGCAAATATTGCAATTGCCACGAATTCACCCGCCGTCGTTTGGATGCCACCGCGATGTACTGAGATTTTGGTGCATGTGGTGCGGGGACGTGACGAGGATGCGCAGCCAGACATGCTGCGCGACAAGGACGTCTTGGAGGTCGTGTGCTTCTGTGTGGACAAAAGTCGAATGTCAAGATACCCGTGTTCGTGCTCGTGCGTGTTGTCGCAGTCAGCTCTGTCTGTTTACAGAACGCCCCGTTTTGCAGCATGGCCGTCTGTTCCTTGCTACAGGTGGCTTGCATGCGTGGTGGAGGCACAGCCGACCGACGTGAAACATGAGGTTACTGTCATGATATTCACGTAATACGCATACGCACGAGCTACGACGTTTGTTGCACATGTTGGTTGCACTGCCATGAGGTCGTTCTGTTTTCTTCTTTGGTTGTGGGTCTCTTTTCTTCGCCGTAGTGCATTTGACACATCTTCTCAGCATTTTGGCAGGAAAACGTCGAACTTCGTTTGCCACGTTTCAATACTGGTTCTGGCTGCTGCTCCACAACCAATAGCCAATAACAGAAAGACGAAGTACGTTAGCTGGAACAACATGTTTAAGACCGGTGAGCAGATTTACGGCCAAAGTGTGTCGATCACAAACCTCTTCGCGACGTCTCCGCAGCCTGATCGGTTCGACTCAATCATGTCCGTTATCGTCTCATTCGCGCCCTCGTTGCTCCTCCCTATGCTGCTGTCCGCCCACCAGCATCACCGAGCAGCGCTTTCCGACATGTTTAGCGTCGGGTATGGGGTTGCACAGGACAACGCTTACTGTTACTAACTGTCACCATTAAAACAGCCTGGATATCCTCTCTGTCAAAGGAAGCAACCTCTGCTGCTCATGTCTCTATAAGTTTGCATGAGAACTTGGTTTCTGCGTGGCTCAACGAGGAAACTGTATTTTCTGTCGAAGTGTTGCTCTACGAGATACGACAAGCCTTGCAGGAGACCAGGGGAGCCAGGGTAACCCCCAAACAAGGGTCAAGAAAAGTGCACCCTCCGTTCTTGAGCTGTCAGGGGCGAGATATCTTTCCGAGATCATCGGCCCGAAAAGGCTGGTCTGTCACGGTAGACTTGAAGAGAAAGCAGAACTCAACAAAATGATCCCCGACCATGGCCTCAGCATCCGCAGTACCCGAACAGGTCTAGACACGCCTGCTTCGGCCCTCTCTTTAAGCCTTTGCAAAAAGCCGGAAGGGTCTGTTCAGGAATCTTGTTGAATGGAGGGCACCGTCTTGATGATCTCTGTTTTTTCATGCTCACAAGTGCCGTTGTACGATTGAATAAAATGAAGCCTGACCAGTCATGACCAAAGGACTATACATGAAGCTTGACAGTCATGACTCAGGGACACAGCAGCCGTGCGCAGGTACTTGGCCGTAGACCACGTGCCGGAACACATCGAGCAGTGTAGGCACGGCGGGCACCAATCTTTGCTGAACGGATCTGAACGGACAGCTGGGAATTTAGAAGCTGGGACTTCGCTGGAAACCAACTATGTCTACAAGCCTGCAATAAGAATGCCCAGGCTCAGAGCTGAAATAATTGACCGGAAAAGGGTCTTGGAAGATGTTCGGAATCGGAGCAATCTCAGGCGGAAGTTCGGCGAATGGCCCGGCCTAGAGTTCGAGGTGTCGCCGTCTGCACTTGCTCCAGTGGACCCGATTCCTTCAAGTCTTCAAGTCCACCGTAGCATCATGTCGTTTGTGAGGTTATGGATGCTCACGAGCTGGCCTCCCTCCAAGACTGCGAATGCTTCTGAGTTTAGCCCTCTTGGCTTAGTTACTGTCGCCGGGCAATCGCGGAGGCAGAAAAACTGCCCGCAGATTCCTTCGACTTCGTGATTTGCATCCAGGCATGGACTGCTATTGTCCAGTTTTCCCATGCGGTTGTTCTTGGCATGTCTTCACTTCTTGATGCGTTGACATCGTCGACTACACGACTACACGAAGTGCTCTCGTGACGCGCACCTGCCAGGCTGCCGCCTCCTTCGAGCGAATCGAAGGGTTTGTTGAGGGCGTGGGGCACGTCTTGCGAAAAGGCAGGACATTGGCCCCAAGCTTCGAAGAACCCATGGGCAGTAAAGCTTTCATCACCACGCTCGATCTGCAGTGACGTCATAAGCGTCCCGCTCGTCCAGTGCGGCTGTGTGCCCATGGCACGGAGAGGTGGAAGCCTCCTCCTCGCAGACGCACTGACGAGAAGTGCCAACACCAAGCTTTTGGACTCCTTGGAGGTGCGAGGGGTGGCGCGAGAGGAGGTTTAAGGCAGAGTGTGCTGCAGAGCTCATATACTGCACCTGGCACGGGCAAAAACAAGCACACGGTTCTTGTCCTCAGGATCATGGCTTCGATGTTGAGCTGTCGATGGACATCAGCCGCCATGTGCGCCACATGATGACAAGCGAAACCCGAAGTATGCTGTCCCAATTGCTGTTAGTGAGACAGCTGTAGAGCCGGCAGATGGTTTGCATGCATGCGGAAGTCTGATTTTTTGGACTTGGTCGAAGAAAGTCTCGCGCAATGGCGCAATGCCGAAGGTTCATGCGGTGGGTGTTTGCGCAGTGCCGAAGGGGCTCTCCTATGTGCCTTGCCTTGACTGCTGCCACTTGTTTCGGAGTTGTGTCCGCAGCGCCAGTATAAGCCTTGGTCGCAGATTTTGGTGACTGTAGCCGCGTGCTCTTTGTCTGCTCTGCATCTTCTCAGCACGAGACTTGTTCTGCTAATGTGCCGAGGTGCACGTAGTGGCTCGCAAGGACAGGGCAGCCGTTTGTGTACTTTCTGCAAGTGTAGGCACTGTAGGCGAAGGCATGTTTCGACTGCCAGGAATAAGCAGCTCTGGATAGCTCTGGCCCGCAGCGTGCCTCGCGCGGGAAAGAAAAAGTCCTTGTAAAGCAGTGCCCCCCCCGCGTTGTTCAACGAGTCATAAGACCTATGAGGTACCCAGCAGTAGCACTTGATCACTCCATTCATTCTGGGGATGTCTGTTGATGCCTCCGAATCTAACCGGGTGAGGAAGTAATGCACTGCTTCATTGCTTCGTGTATCTGAATGTCCCGCCGCGCAGCAGGGCGCCGCCCGGCAACTTCCCGATTATGCTGCCCGAATTCCGAATAAGATGTCCAGAAGGGCCCGGCCGTGCAAGTCGGACTCTGGTTGTGCATGGGCTGTATAAACGTTGAGCTCGTGCGGAGTCTCCTGTGAATTGGTACTCCTAGTGACCTCGTGATCTAACGCTGTCCGCTGCACTTGCCGCAGTGACAAGCGGTTACCTTGCCGACCGTCGCTCCTCCACTGGTTTCGACCTCCACGTTTCGCCACCGAACTTGAGCTCCGCAGTGCGAAACATAGCGACTGCCGCCGGGTTCAAAAAGCTCCGATGGTACACCTGTTGCAGTCGTGGCAGCTTGTGGCAGTAATGCTTACTGCTGAGGGCGCGAGTGCCACGTTTCCCAAATTAACGGGAAATGCCTCGCAGGAGACAGTGTCGTCGCATGCGCTTCCGCCTTCCGGCGAAACCACACGACCGTCAGATCATTCAGCATTCAGATCAGGCACCGCTGCTTGCAACGCAATCTGGGCCGGTGCAGGCTTGCAGCGCTTACCATTAGGCGAGTTGTGCAGCGACACATCCACACACGACATGTGCCACGCATCGAGGTTGTCGAGCGCATGTTTCGTAATGTTTGAACTTATAGCTTCAACAAAGCGCACCCGTTCCAAGCAGTGCAGCTAGCTCTTTCGCCTGCTCTCACGGCACAATCCACGGCTGCTCCAGCGAGCTTCCGCGATCGTCGCTGCCGAGCTTAGTGAGTATGTCGGCAGGCGTTCGATGCTGTCCGTGCTGCACTTTTGGCCACTTCGTCAAAGCGGCGGCAACGTTGCATGTTGGGGACCAGCGGGAGTGTGGTGTGCATTGGGCACGTCGAAGTCCCGGAAGACGACTTGGAGCTGGCATCTCCGCCACTCTGGAACAACAGTGCTTGAGGCTCTGAGATGCAGTAAAGGTCCCCGAAAATCATCTCGAACACACACTTGCCCACAGCGACTCCGGCACTTCGACGCTTTGGACAGTGATTGAACGCTGGGTCTTATTCGATGGATCTTTACATTTTCTTTGCAACTCAATTTCTTGCACCTGTGTTTTGGTAATGATAATGGTGAGGCTGCCAAAACCAAACATGACCATCGGTGTGATGATTGCAATGAACAGTAATTAAATTGCATGTTTTGCTTTCTGAACCGGTGGGTCGGGCCACCTGGTGGACTTGTGTCGTCATTGTTACCAAGCCATCGATGGATCAAAGCAATGGCAAGGGGAACTTCTTTATCATGCACAGCTTGCTCGTGTAAAGATGATGTGGAACGCAAAGCTTTGCTGGTTCTGCAAGTGGCCACGAGCTTCACGGCATGTTTCTCCGCAACGAAAATCAGAATAATCAAAGTTTGACATTTTCGCATGTATAGTGTATGGTGTCTAGCTGTTCAGTTCATTTTCCTGAGCTCTACTTCGGGCATAAGGCTTGACTTGACTTGACACTTCATTGAAACATGTTGACTGGTCACAACATCTCGAAACTTGTTAAGTTTGCCCCAAACGACGGTAACAGGGTGGGCAACTTCAACATCTGAGCATTTGCGAAGATTATCGGGAATAGTTCGTGCGGGGTACTTGTCTCTTAGTTATCCTGTGTATGTCAGCAGCACTGAGCACGAACATACTTGAACCATGTCGTCGTCAATGTCCGTGTACGCAATATTTGTTGCGCCCATGTGAAGGCAGGAACGCTAAACAACACGTTGCCACACATTAGCGTTAGGAAGGTCAGTCTGATCCACAGCGAAACTCCCGGCACTCAGCAAACTCATCCGGACGCAGGTCGTGCTCATGAGACTTGTTCGTGTTGTTCGAGTCTAGTAGCCGGTGCAGCAGTCGCAGCATGTGATAGGCAATAGCTTGCCGCCTGGGGGTTGAGCCCAGCTCGCAGTCGACACCACGCTTCTCTCCTCTGTCTCGGACGAAGGTGCACTGCTCCTTGCAAGACGAGCGAAAATCAACGCGAGGATTCTCGTTTGTCAGGTCCAAACCGCTGCCGGCTTACCGTCATTGCCATTTGAAGTTGGGGTCTTGGAGCGCCGAGGCCGCTATACCTTTGTACGACTACAGTACTTGCAACGTGCCCGGCACGGTCATATGCACCGCCCCTCATCAAGAGCTGCCGTCATCTCGGCTTTCACGGTTTGCGCTGCCACGCAGTCTTTCGCAGGCAGCCCGCTGTCAAGCAAATATACTTTCACGACACATGTTGACGGGGAGTTGTCCCATTTTGAGCGGCATCCTCCCGACTCACCTTCGCAGCCCCTGTTCGCCAGCCGCTTGGTGTGAACAGCTTCTGGACGCGAACTGTTGCCGTAATCCGTCGCCGTGGTCGCAGATGGTCCAGTCAGCATCATTCGATGCTGCATGCCTAGCCCTGCGTGATGGGGCGCCCACGATCTCGCAGACACTGTGCTCCGTCGTTGATGATACCCGAGTTGCGGTAACATCCTGGGGTCCAGCTGCTGTGCCGGGGAGTTGCTTGAAATAGCTGCGGTCGGCCATGTGATTGCTCCATGCAACCCCGCGGGTGGAGTCAGAGTTCCGTCGTCGCAGACGTTTTACGACGACCTTGTCGGCAAGGCGCTGGCTTAGGGCAGCAGTGTTTGGCCATGCTCGAAGGCTGCGAGCACGGGCCGAGTTGCAGCTACTACTGTATCTTCCATCCTGGGTTTATAGTTGCAGAATGGGTGTACACGTATATGATAGCCTCTGATAGCGACTTCATGCTGCAACAAGAAGCCATGGTTTGCGACCTGAAAAACCTGTAGAACGAAACGGAGGGTTGTGCAGTAAACATTTTTTGGTGATGGTTGTGCTTATCGGTTAGGGTTGGTATTCGTTCCAACATATCAGGAATACTGGTATTCTGCAAGGTGAGAGCGCGGAGCAAGATCCACAGATGCCCGGCCTTGACTCCCTGGCAAAGCTTGAGGCTTTGCGCAGTGTTCAGGCCCGCCACGAGCGATGCTGAACCCGTTTCCACATACTCCATGTTTTTGCCGTCGCGCTGCCATTTGATAATCGCTGCCTGAACGATTCAGGGAGCGTTAGAGGACCACGAACGTGTCCAGCTCAAGTCCCTCAGCCACTCGGCCTCGGTCGCTGCGGCCCCGGCCTTGCGTCCCTAGCCGCAGACAAGCAATGACAAGCAACGGATGCATGTGAGCGACCGCGGTTATTAAGTCTTATTGTGTCAAGGGTACAGGCGGACATGGTAATACGGGTTTTGCTAGCGTTACTTGGGGACTGAGGTAAGGCCCGCAGTTACAACGAGATGGTTAAAAGAGTACATACTGTGCATACTCGTAGTTACATGTCAATCATAATTAAGTGCTTGCTTACATGGACATACACTAATGAATATACAGAACGGGCCGCCCTGAAACGGCGCTTTTTGCGTGTTTTACGTGCTCCAAGACACACCAAATACGGTTAGCAGTCACGAAAACTGTACAACCATTGCAGACGCGCACAACAAGCGGCCAAATACATTCCGAAAAACACCACGAAAACCATAAACACAAACAACACCAAAGAAACCCAATAAACCAAAGAAACCAAAAACCAAACAAACAAAAAAAAATACAAAGAAACCAAACAAACCAAAGAAACAAAAAATCAAAAGAGTACCGGAATTTTGTTTTTTTGTTTTTCGGTTCTACTGCAATTTCCCTAGTCGCGTTGCTGGTTTCCCGCGCGTTGCTTCCTGCGCGCAGGGAGTCTCACAATTACATTTTTCCATGTTGTTGGCTACTTTACTACGTGTTGCAATGTCGGCAGGACCATTCCGTTGGTATAAATCCTTAGCCTTAGCTGTTCCTGGCACGTACAGATGTATGGAAATACACAAATATGTAAACGTACGTACATATTGGTATATACACATACACACACACATACAATACATATACACACTCGTTTTTCATTACACGGGTATATATAGACATGGCATATGCTCTCCCACGTGGGAGATTACTGATGACTATAGTATATCAACATAAGAAAATATATACAGGGGTGTGAAATCATGCCCGGGTTTTGCATTTTTTCCAAACATAGCCACATACTCACATGCTTATGTAGGTAATAGCAGCTGCATACTTTGTTATCGCTTCGCATGTACGGTTACACCTTCATCTCAGTACACAGGTGCATCGAAGGCTTTCTATGGACATATGCTCCAATGCGCTTACATATGCCCGTGTGTGACATTGTCTACAGATATGACTGATTAAATTCCGTGAAAGCGCTTACATCCTCATCTCAGTATACAGGCGCATCGAAGGCTTGATGTGGCCACATGCTGGTATGAATTTACACATGCCTGTGTGTGTGGCATTGTCCCGCTCATCAAATTCGGTAGATGCTGAGATTCACAGCTTTGACTAAGGGTAGGTGAGAAAATACGAAAGGTCACATGAATCCGTGCATATCCATAAAACCTATATATCCATATATACATATACAGGTGTTTGTTATTAGCCAGACAATAATACAATATACTGCTTTCATTCGTGTTGTTTCGGATTCGTTTCATTAAAATGATATTTGTTATGTGTCTGTTACCATAGTACCTCCTAATGAGGAAATAAACAATGCGAACATAATACAATATAGGTTACAGTATTCATATAATCTGTACCACATGCTAAAGACATCCGACGATAAACGTGTTACCGTACTTGCAATGGAGCCTTCATGCAGATGCTAGCATGAGCCAACCTACCACACA